TTGTTTCATAAATAAACAAATGTTATTTAAGTTTTTGTTTATTTAAAATGTAAAATTAAATTATTGAAATAAAAAATATAATATTTTTAAATTGTATGAACATAGAAATAGAACAGGGTACTACTAGGGATATGGTGTGGAATAAACTCATTACTTCTTGCTTATGAAGTCAGTGGTCTACCACTTCACCATTACCACATTAGTTAATAATCTTGTTATAAAAGTCATATTAACTAAGTTCAAATAAATAGCTTTCATGTAAAAAGTTCATGAAAGACTTACATCAGGCAGCTTTGTATTTATCAAAAAATAATGCAAAACTTTAAAGTTAGACTTAAGTAAAAATCTGTTCCAAATAAAATCAAATGAAAAATTATTTGTTCAGCAAAGTAAATAAACTAAAGAATTACTAGAGAGAATCTTAGACTAGCTCAAATCAAAGCACAGTGGGCCAGAGTTTAGCAAAAAGGTCAAAACGAAAGATCGTATATTGACTTTTTTAATCATTTGCAATTAACATGCATATGTTAATGACAACAAATGTTTATTTTATAATGCACTTGATCAATTTTATAAACCTTTTAGGATGCTTCAAAGTCAAAAAGTTGTTAAAATATGTGTGAAAAACATGTAAATACTGGGAATACATCTGTGACATTTAGTAATAATCTATCCTTATGGAATTTGAAAACATTTATACTAATTTACATATAATTTTATAATTATTCAAAAAAACTTGCTAAAAAATTAAGTTTTTTAATTTTTTAGCAGGTTTTTTTTCATTATTAGGACATATTTTTTACGATTTTATAATAGATACTGCACGTTGTAACGTATTATAACTTGCCGTAATAGATTTACCACACGTTATTATACGTCAAGATGAAATTAATTTAAATGCATACTTTATTACTTTAACTAACATTTTATAAAAAGATTTTCTGCCCCCACTTGCCAAAAATGTTGAAAAAGGTTGACTTGACCAAACTTTTAAAATTTAACAAAAAAATTAATTTACAAATCTGTATATGTAATATGCTTATAATTTTTTATTCAAGTCATTGTTTTTAGTAGTTAAATAAATATTAAACACCTGCTACCAATGCGTTGATCAAATTGTATAATTGACTACAAGTTATTGTAGATATCGAGGCTGACATTATTTTGAAGGTTTTGAATACATCGGATGAGATTAAAAAGGGATTTTATGAACGATCTTAGAAAGAAATGGAAGTAGAAAAGCAGAACTAGGACACGGTTTGAGGCTAAGTACCAGAACTGGTTAGATTGCAATATCAATCCTGTAGAGAATATTCAACCTTCAGATCCAGTTAATCCTGGTAATTAAATAACAATATATGTATGTTATAATAATCATTTAGTATTATATGTCTTCTATGTAAATGTAATGTTGTCAACGCCAATGTTTGAATGTTATATTTATTATGTCAATATTTGTTTACAGTTTTCTTTAACATGAGTGGAAGGAAGTTGTATGAAATTATGCTTTAGATTTCAAAGACTACCAACCCACTCTTTTTGAGCAAGACTGTAAAATAATTATTCAAATTCTTTAAGATCTAGAGTATAAAAAAATTGCAAAGCCTTTGTACATCATACTGTCTCATGTGTAGAAGAGGTAAATTCTGAGGTTCTAGAGACCTATATTATATCTATACTCCTGGTATTATATGACCCAGAGTTTACACAAACTGTTAATACACTCTCACCAGGTAGTTTGCAACAAAAGCTTATCTATCGGTATGTTTCTGAAGAAGCACAGGAAAGCAGAAATAAAGGTGTAAAAAACTTCAGAGAATTCTTTACACTTGAAGTTTCTAGAAAAAAATAAAACCTGGATTTAACAAAAAGACTTCAGTGCAGCTCAGATCCAGCTTGCTGCGAAGCAGAAAAAAAGTGGAATCGATTTTTTCCAAAGAAGCTAAACTTCTACTTGTATGAACTTATTTTGTTTATATGATTTCACAATTCAAAACATTTTAATTTTTTTATATAAGAAGCTAGTTAAATATTTTTTGACCCTTAAAAACAATATAGTTACAATAGGGCAAATTAAATTTATTTGTTGGTACAGATTAACACTTTCAGGTGTTGCGCGAACTCCAAATTTAAGTATATTTATGCTAATGTCAAATGATGATACTTTCCAAAAAATTGCAGTGATTAAGCCTGGGAACAAAAATAACCCAAAATGTTATTTTCCTTACCTCAACAGCAAGGGCAATCAGTTAATGAATGAATTTGTTAAATATATTATATTAAATTTGACTACGTTGGCATATTTTAAATTTTATAGAATAATATTTTAGAATTTTGAAAGTTATGACTAAATAAATTTTGAACCTTCCCCAAAGTGAGGGGGTTAAAATTTTTATATGATCATAACTTTTGATCTCTGAAAGATTACTCCGTAAAATTTAAAACCTGCTAATTTAGTTAAATTTAGCAATATATTGTAACAAAAATTAAATCATTTACTCATGGCCCTCACCTTTGGGGTAAAGGGAAAAACTTTTTTGGGTATTTTTGTTCCCAAGCTCAATTCAGAATGGTCAAAACCAAATTTTGATGTCAGAAATGGATTCTCTTACGCTAAAAACATATGATTAGATGTTTATGCATACACATGTATGTATAAAACATAAATTAAATCTTAGCTTTGTATATGTTGTTTGCAACTTTTGGAATTAGGAAAATTGAGGTTGGCAATTATTTGCAACCTCAATCTTTTAGAGGTCCACATCAGGTGGACAAATAAAATTTAATACAAAGGTCTTACTATAAAACATAAAAACGAGGTCGGCAAAAAATTGCCAACCTCAAACACTTTTAGTTCACCATTGCCGAATGTCGACCCTAATTCCGAGGACTGCATTTGTGCATGTCATTTTCAAGTGACTGTATAGCATAAAAAAAACAATTCATTTTTAAATAGGATAAAGGCTTTAAATAATGGTTTCAAACAAAAGCTCTATCTGGTGCTTTGTCCCCCTAGAATATTAGATTTCAACCGGATGGAAAATAATACCAGTACTAGTAGTTATTAAAAATTACATTAAACATTAAGTTGATTGAATTATTGGTAAACATATTACCAAAAATTCAATCAACTGAATGTTTAATGTAATTTTTAATAATTACTGGTTGAAAGCACTTTATGAGATGTGCATGTTACTATTGCTAAGGAGTACTCATTTCTGCATTGGAGTAAATGCAGAAATGAGTACTCCTTAGCAATAGAGTCAAAAGGAGATACTTTAAATATTAAAACTAAATATTTTTTTTCAATTTTTTGTGACCTTGATAAAACTTGATAAAAAATTTGATAAAAACTTGATAAAAACTTAATAAAAAATTTTGTGCTTCTTATTTTTTTAAACGTAATTGAATTCATAACAATTTCATTTGTATTCATTTTAACTAGAACAAGCTAAGTAGCTAAACTAATGCTAAACTTTAACTCTTTTGCTTTTCGCCTTTAGTTATTAACTTTGACTATAAATTTTTATATTATTAAAAAAAAATCAATTGAAAATAATTTTTCAAGTTTTTTTTTTATTAAAAAGAACCTAGCAGCCTTTTTCGTCAAGGTTAACCAGAGGGTTTTAATAAAGTAGCCTCCTTGACTATAGTGGCTTTCATGGCCTTGGGGAGGCGAATTGAAATTAAAAAAAGAAATATGGAGCTTGTTTTCCTGTCTGCTGGAAAGCAGCGTTAAATTATTTAAAAAAAATTTTTTAAATAATTGAATATTTCCTTTTCAGTTACATTAAAGTTATGCTGATGGATAACATTCTTATTCACTTCCAGTAACTTTAAATAAACTACAGTTCCTTGTTATGTTCCATATTATTTCTAATCATCACTCTTTGTTAACAGGTAACCAATTTTTTTGTTAAAAACAGGTAACCAAACAAACTCTTTGTTAAAAATGGGAAACTATAAATATATCTCTTCTGGAAACTAATAATATTTCTCCTGGAAACTAATATCTCTCCTGGAAACTATATATCAAGTCTATTGCATATCTGACATTTACTTGTCTTTTTACAATGCTTGATATTTTTTTACTCCTTATTTTGTTCTCTATAAATCTCTATGTTCTTTTATAGAATACTGTTTTCCTATCATGTCTGGAACTTCTAGGGATATCCTTTTCTTTTTAGAAATTAAATCTTTTTCTATTTATTATTAATTATTGTATAATTGTACATCTTTTTTTTTATTTTTTTACATATATCCCTCCACCTGTGATAGTTAAAATGCTCTCTAATTTTTTTTTTTTTAGCGAGACAGCAATAGTATTAATGATAACACTAATAACACTAATGCAATTTGAATACCAGTTATTTAAATTTTTTTCAAACTTGTTACAACATCACATCAACAATTGTTATTAAAAGACACAAATGTTACTATTTGCTGATAGCATTTTCACTTTATACAGTATTAAAAAATCCAATATAATCAACAAGTAAAATTGTGTAATAAACAAAGTTGTTAAACAAGTAAAAAAAATTCATTTAAAAAAGTAAAAATAGAATAAATTAATTTTTAATAAAAATCATGTTTACTTATAAATAAAGCAGATAAACTAGTTAAGAAAAATAACTTTGTCATATATGTGGTTGTTGTCATATATGTGATTGTTGTCATATATGTGATTGTTGTCATATATGTGATTGTTACAATAAAAAGTTTTTGAGTTTGTTCAGATTAAACTGTAAAAACAAAGAAAACAAAAATTTTTAACAGGAATCTCTATGATGTAAAGACAACTTTGAGTTCAAACTGTTCATCTACCAATTTGAGTTTTCTTTTTTTGAGTTAAATTTTCTTGAGTTTAATCTAACTTTTATTCAAGCCAAATTTGTTATTTTTTATTGTTTTATTTTTATTATTACTTTTTTTTTTCTTTTTTTTTTTTGTTAATAATAAGTTGATAAATTTTTATTAAATTATCTTTTTTTTTTTTATAGGTATGCATTTGGTGACTGCCGTAAACCATCACATGAATCGGTTTCTCTAGTTGAAGATATAGTACATCAGCAGATGACTAGTGTGGTAGGTTGTTAAAATTATTAACTCAATGATATAAAATTTAACTATATTAATAAAAATTAGTTATAAATTTTGAAACTAATTTGTGGAATAGATTTAAAAACAACAAAAAAAGTAAAAAAAAAATTTGCTACATTGAAAGGCTTTTAGATTCGAATCTTGTTTCCTCGCAAAACCTGCACAAAATAATTATAGTGGGTAAAGTTATGGAATAGTATAACAATAGTAATAATAGTATTACTAATAATAATAATAACAATAATAATAGTAATAATAATAATATTATCAATGCTCTGCAAAAAACTGTTATGAAATAAAAGGTTTGTTTAACAATACAACAAACTTTTTAAGGCAACTAAAGTTCTAGAGAAAAGCTATTTGATTTTTTAAAGGAAAAATTTGAAAGAAGAAAAAAAAATTATAAGATCTTTTATTATTTACAAATAAAAAATAAATATATATAGTATATTTATTTTTTAATAAATAATTATTTCAGTCTTTAAAATTCAAAATTATAACAAACTTATTTCTGCAAAATTTCATTTCCAGCAGGTACAGAACATCATTCATTTGTAGTTCAGTTGTCATCACTGGAGATATTAATGCATATACATCTTTGAAAGTAGGGCTGGAACAAGTAGGTTTTAAATTGAAAAAGGGTGCCTTACGGGTTTTTGGCACAAAAAAATTTACTCATAAAAACAAATCTAAATTTCTCCACAATGTTGAAATCAGTTAATTTATAATTTTTTGTTTTTGTCCTTTAAAAAAAAATTGTTTACCATTTGCAAAGTCATTGTAGTTTTATGAACATCTGAAGAACTTACAATTTGGGGGTGTTAGTTGACTGGCCTCAAAAGCACGGGGGGGGGGCTATGCTGATTATGCACTATTGCAACCAACCTTCGACTATTGTCACAACATTTTTTTGCTTCTCTTTCTCTTTTCTATAAATATTAAAATGGGCAGTGCAATTAACCTTCCATTACTCCTAAAATTACTGGAAATGAAGAAGAGTGTAGGCCTTTGAGAATGACTTTTAGTTCTTTGCAAATAACTCTGCCTTATTCTGGTGAAAAAGTAATCAGTAAGATTGAGTATACTGAGATAAGGTACAAGATTTAGTAAACTGAAAATAATGGAGCTTAGCATCAAACAGGACCTTTACATTAACTTCTTGCAATAATAAAAAGACATTTGTTCTTAATTTTGTTTTTTTTCATTACTTCTAACAATAATAAAGAGTAATTGTAATTAAGAGAGATGTTCTTATAAAAAAGACGAAAAAAATAATAATGATTTAATATAGCAACTGCACAAAAAGGTAAGAAAAATAAAGTCAAAGAAGATTGATTTAAAACCATAAAAAAAGAATAAAAGCATCTGTACCTGCTCAGATCCAGGAAGTTAGGTAAGAGGCACATTTATGCATACATAGTATGGGTATATATGGATATAAGTATATATGTTTGCTATTTATTTAAATGCTGGAATCTTTGAATATTTGCGTAAACATAAGTATTTATATAGTGCAGTATTTGCAGAACGAGAAGATGATAATCAGATAGATGTGTAGTATGGCTCTAACAAGTATTTATATTATATTTTATTTATTTATCATGCATATAAATATACATGATGAATAAATAAAATATAACAAACTTTAGATTAAAAAATATGCAGAGGGTGAACACCTAAAGTTTAGTTAGTTGGTTACATTTTTAATTAATAAAGCAAGGAAAGATATATTTTATATATTAAGGTAATTTAGTTCAAGAAAGATAAATGATTTTTTTTTCGTTTTTATGGCTCCCAATTTTAGTCATTTGGACCTATAGCTGTTTTGAAACTACATATATCTATAAAGAAATACTGAAAGAATGTTGTGCAATTATTTTATTTTTTATAGAGTTGTCATATTTGGTAAGGATAGGAAAGTCATTAAAAGTTTTAGTTTATAATGATTTTTTTTTATTTTTATTTTTTATCAAAGTTCACTCTTTTCTCAAAATTTTTACTTGAATGCAATTTAAAAGTTGTAGCATAGTAATTATGCGGTAGTGGTGTAGTGGTAGAGCGCTCGCTTCATAAACGAGTGGTTCCGAGTTCGACCCCACCACGTCCCTGGTAGTACCGCCAAACTATGGGACATTTTCCCATAGTTTGGATTTAAGTTGCTTTTTTCAATTACTGTGAATATATAATTAAAAAAAAATAAAGTATTTATTAAATTTTCTTAAAACAACTAATTTATACCTTTAATGATGAAAAGATATCATTTCATATTTTTATATAAAGCGATTAGTGTTTTTTTAAATTTTAATATATATAATATATAAAAAGTAATATATAATTTTTCTTTTCTAAGGTTTCTTGACTAAGGTTGCTGTACTTAAAAGAATATTTTTGTTTTTAAAACTGTAAATTTCCACTTCTATTTTTCTAGCTGGTGCAAGCAGCAGAAGTGACTAACACAAGAGGAGGAAAGTTTACTAGTATTGATGATATCTTATTTATTTTGAAGAATAATAAGGTATGTTGTTTTTATAAAAAAAAATTTTCTGCTAAAGTAATCTATTTACATAGATATTTTTTTTCTGGAAGTATATAAATTCTAGATTTTTTTAAATTTTAATTTTCATGAAAATCTAAAAAAGTGGATCCTGCGTGGTTAATTAAAATAAGTGAATCCTGCATGATTAATCTAAAAAAGTGGATTCTGATTAAACTGTATTTTTTGTTTCGAGGAAGTATCATGTATCAAAAACATAGTTTGTAATATTTTTATGTCTGATTCTTGTTAAATAATTTATTCCAATAATTAATGCTTCTTTTTTTGTAAGTTCAAAAGAGTATATAGGAAACTGTATAAATATTCATATAGTTATTTGAGTATTATACCAAAGATAAGATAAATACCAAAGTTTTATATTTATAAAAATGTTAAACTTTATTAGTATTCAAATGTCAGTTGTATTTTAATTAAGTTCATTTTTTTTTGGATGAATGTTCGATTGAATTGATTAAATGCCATGGGTCACAAGCCTTTACCATGTAAAGGCTTGTGACCCATCACCTTGTAAGCCAAGGTGATGGGTCACAAGCCTTTACTCTTAGGTAAGTCTTAAGTAAACAGTTTATTATAAAAAATGTTTTTAGTTTAATCAAAATAAGGAAGATTGTGAAAACATAAGCATTCTATTCATAATTTTTCGTTATTATTTATTATTATCATATATATAAGTGTAAGGTGGTTAACTAGGATTAACTAGGCAAAGTTAAACTTTCTTTCTAAGCAAAAGATGTTTATAGAAATAATATTTTGTTTTATGAAAGAGAAATAAAATATGGGTTTAATCTATAAACTTTCTTGAGTTTTTGGCTGATCTTTATTTCTTTATTTTTATTTAGTGTAAACTTCAGAGAGTTATTCGATATCTTAGATTAAAGGACCTAAAGAGCAAGACTATTAAATCAGCTTCACCAGATGAAGAAGATATTTTTGAGACAATAGGTATTTGTTTTGTTTTCATAACTTTTAGCAACAACAGGTTATTCCACGTTAAATCATCTAAATTTAAAAAAATATAATAATTGTAAAAATATTTTTTTTACAATTATTATATTTATATATTTATATAATTTTATTTTTCTTAGCTGCTTATAGTTATCTATTAAATGCATTTTAATACATTTACATTTTAGTTATTATTATTTGATATTGCTTTGAAAGTCATTATTTTTATGCGTACAAAATAAAAAAACCCTCAAAAATACCAATACGAAAAAATATTTAAATATTTAGTTTTTTGCTATCACAACATGTTAAAGTAGAGTTGTGGATAATCAATTCCACGTGTTTTAAGGTGCGGCTAACATGGGTTGAACAAATGACTCTCCTTAGGGGTGCAATTATTGACTGATATGGCTGTAATTACAGTGTAGTTACAACTGACTATCAACTGACTTAAATAGGTATGGAAGAAGTGGAATGTATATATATTATTTTTTGCTCTCCTATAGTTCGATATAAAGTTGTATAAATTAACAGTGACTAAACGGAAAAGTAATAAATAATTTAAGTAATTTCTTTAGCAATAAGTTAGTGTCGTGGTGCAAGTTATATTAACATTATAACATTTTATGCTATTGCGTATTAATTATTATTGTTGTTTAATAATTATTATATTATTTTTAATTAATTATAATTTTTTCATCTATGATATATCGTCTATATTATTGTTTCATAAAGCCATAGATTATTAATCTATATTAAAGTTCGAAAAACTAAATTTTTTTAAAAAGTTAATTATAGAACATTATTTTTTTTATAATTGAAAAATATAATTGCAAAAATGGCTTGATAATAAACAAAAATAATAAACAGTTGTTATAATAAAACAAAATACTGTTACTTGCAGGCTTGTCACAACAAATTTTGAAGATAAGTTACATAAATATATTTTATTTTTGTAAAAAGTGTTTACAAAATGCTATTGAAAAAATTCTTAATAAATTGATTTAAAGACATGATTAAAAGTTAAAACTGATTATTGACTAAAAGTCAATTTAAAAAGTTAATTCCAATTTATGTTAAATGGGACTTTTTTTGAGATGCAGGCTTTTTTTTTTTAGTTTTTAAGACTTAGCATTTTTTTATTCAATAGAAAAGATTTTTTACATTTAAAACTTGAAAAAAAATGTTGCGTGAAAAAAAAAAAAATTGTGTCACAAAACTAAATACAACTCCCCTTTTCCCTGTAATAAATTGTCACATAATAGTCACAAAACACTTCACTTTCCCCCTTAAAGATAGCCTAGTAAAGAAGGCGCTATTACTGTCACAATATAGTTCATAAAGAAATTTTTAAACAAAATTTAACGAGGATTAAATTTTGTTTAAGAATTTCTTTTCTAAAGGTTAAATTTTATTTAAGAATTAGTCAGGGGACAGAGTTATCAGAAGAATATTAGCCACAAGAACAAATAAAATGGTTTGACTTATAGGTTCAAGTTAACAAGGGTGTTTTTGAGTGACTTTTATGAGAAAGAATTAGAAAGGATTCAGGCGTAATAAAATTCTTTTAGTTACGCCTGAACAAAATTTGATTTTCAATTTTGATATAAGAATTGGTTTTGATATTAAAACAGTTTTTTATTATAAATTATAATTTAATACTTAAGAATATTATAATAAACATTGTTGTGTTTACATTTTTCAATGGCTGCAAAAAAAAAAAGTTGAGACAAAAAATCTCTAATACGTTGCTTTAAAAGAAACGAAAAAGGATTATCAAAGTTGTTGTTGAATAAGAAAATATTTTCAAATCTATCTGAATTCATCTATATATATATATATATATATATATATATATATATATATATATATAGATGAATTTTCTTTATGAATTCATCTATATATATATAGATGAATTCATAAAGACACAAGTCAAAGCATGTAAGAAATAAAGAAGGAACATTTTAAATTTAGGTTAGCTTGTTTTTAAATGGCTTTTAAATGTAAGGAGTAGAAACATAGCAGTATATGGGGTAGAAACATA